TCTCTTCTGCTCCCATTTGGACACCCTTAATTCCACTCTCTTGTCTGATTGCTGTAGCAAGAACTTCCAGCACTATGTTGAACAGAAGTGGAGATAGTGGGTAACCTTCTCTTGTTCAAGTTCTAAGTGGGAATGCTTTCAATTTTTCCCCATTCAGTATGATATGGGCTGTGCGTTGTCATATATGCTTGTATCATTTTAGGTCACGCCCATCTATGCCTATTTGTTGAGCGTTTATCATAAAAGGGTGGTTGAATTGTCAAATGCTTTCTCTAAGTCTATTGAGAGGATCATATGTCTTTGTTTTTGCTTCTGTTTATATGGTGAATACATTATAGATTTACAATATGTTGAACCATCCCTGCATCCCTGGGATGAGCACCACTTGGTTGTGATGAATTATTTTCCTGACAAACACCTGGATTGATTGGCTAGGATTGTTGAGAATTTTTTGCATCTATATTCATAAGGGATATTGGTCTGTAGTTTTCTTTCTTTGTTGCATCCTTTTCTGGTTTTGGTATCAGGGTTATGTTCCCTTCATAAAAATGTTCTGGGGAGAATTCCATTCTTCTCAATGTGGAATAATTTCTGCAGGATAGGCACCAGTTCTTCTTTGTAGGTGTGGTAAAATTCAGGTGTGAAACCATCTGGCCCAGGACTTTTCTTTTTAGGAAGGTTTTTTATTGCTGTTTCACTTTCAGTACTTGATATTGGTCTGTTCAGGAATTCTATTTCTTCCTGGTTGAGCCTACGCAGGCTGTGTGTTTCTAAGAATTTGTCCACTTCCTCTACATTTTCCAGTATGTGTGCATAGAGGTTTTTGTAGTATTCATAAATTATATCTTGTATCTCTGTGCATCAGTGTAATTTCTCCTTTATTTCCTGATGGATATTAGAGATTTTTCTTTTCTGCTTTTCGTTAGTCTAACCAATTGTGTGTCAATTTTGTTTATTTTTTCAAAGAACCAACTTTTGTTTTATTAATCTTCCATAAGTTTCCCTGTGTCAATTTCATTAGTTCTGATTTGATCTAATGATTTCACTTCTTCTGCTGGTTTGGGTTGGTCTCTTCTTCTTTTTCAGCTCTTTGAGCGATTCATTAGGTGGTCTATTTGTGATCTTTTGACTTTTGATATAGCATTATGGAAATAAACTTTCCTCTCAGGACTGCTTTAGCTGTGTCCCACAGGTTTTGGTAACTTGTGTCACCTTTGTTGTTTAGTTCAAAGATTTCTATCTTGATTTCCTCGTTTATGAAGTGATCATTCGGCAGAAGGTTGTCTAGTTTCCATGACTTTGTGTAGAAATGAAGACTCCTGTTAGGATCGATTTCTACATTTATTCCATTGTGGTGTCTGAAAAGATACATGGTATAATTTCTATTTTTCAAAATGTTTGAGACGTGCTTGGTCCTAGGATGATGGTCAATCTTAGAGAATGACCCATGAAGCTGATGAGAAGAACATATATTCAGTTGGTTGGGTAGAATGTCCTGTAGATGTCAGTCAGGCCCATTTGTTCTAGGGTTCTGTTTAAGTCCATTATTTCTTTGTTGATTTTCTGTTTGGAGGATCTGTCCTGTGCTGTCAGTGGGGTGTTAAAGTCTCCAACTATTATGATGTTGTGTGTTTACCATTTGTTTAGATCAAGTAGAGTTTGATTATGAATCTGGGGCACCAAGGCTTGGGGTCATATATTTAGAATTGTTATGTCCTCTTGTTGGACTGTACCCTACCATGTATATAGTGACTTCTTTGTCTTTATTACTTTTGTTGATTTAACAACTAAGTTATCTGTAATCAGCACCGCCACGCCAGCTTTCGTTTGGCTTCCATTTGCTTGAAATATTGTTCTCCACCCCTTTACCTTTAGTCTAATTGCATCCTTGCAGGTTAGAATGTGTTTCCTGAAGGCACAGATACTTGGCTTGTGTTTTTTATCCATTTGCCAGCCTATGTCTCTTGAGTGGGGAGTTCAAGCCATTCACATTTATTGAGATAACTGATAGGTGGGGCATATTTCTGTTCATTATGTTGGGTTGAACTTTGTTGCTTTGTTTTCTCTCTTGAGCCATTGTGGTATCTGGGCTTTGATCTTTAGCTTTTAGTAGATTTACATTCGTGAATGTTTATTGTGCTGATCCGTGGGTAACACTGTTTTGAGTACTTCTTCAAGGGCTGGTCTTGTCTTGGTAAATTCCCTGTCTTTACTTATCTGAGAATGTCTTGATTTCTCCTTCCTATACAAAACTTAGTTTTGCAGGGAATAAGATTCTAGGCTAGGCATTGTTCTGTTTCAGAAGAGTGAGAATGGAGCCCCAGTCTCTTCTTGCTTGTAAAGTTCAGTGGAGAACTTGGTGTTATTTGAATTGCTTCCTTGTATGTTACTTGCTTCTTTCGTCTTACAGCTTTTAGAAGGGCCTCTTTGGTTGATATTTTGGTCAGTCTGATGACTGCATGTTGTGACGTCTTCCTGTTTGCATTGAATCTCCCAGGGGTCCTCTGAGCTTCTTGAACTTGTATATCGAGATTTTGAGCAAGGCCTGGGAAATTTTCCTCTATTACATTTCAAATAGTTTCCAACCCTTGAGTTGTCTTCTTCCCTTCTGGTAACCCTTGACCTCACATTAGGTTTCTTCACATAATCCCACATCTCTTGTAGGCTTGCTCTTTTCTCTTGTTCTGCTATATCTCTGTGATGGTTTATTTAGTTGGAGGGTGTTACTTCAATCTCTGAGATTCTTTCTTCTGTTTGATCTACCCTGTTCTTGAGACTTTCCACTGTATTATGTATTTCCCTGAATTGATTCTTCATTTCCAGGCGTTCAGTTAAACTTTCTTCATGTGTCTTCTTCTTAGTGAACTTTTTCCAGTCCTGAGGCTTTGTGGTCGTTGTGTTGGTTATTGAGTTGTTCTTGCAGGTTATTGAATTTTCTTATGATCCACATTTGGAATTCCTCTTCTGTCATTTTGGTTGCCTGATTTTGGTTGGTGTTCATTACTAAGGGGCTAGTGCTCCTCTTTGGGGGTGTGGTTTCCGTTTGGTTCTTCATTTTCCTGGAGTTCCTTTGCTGATTTCTTCCCATATTGATCGGTTGTAGCTTCTTTCCTTTAGGTTTTCGTTTGGGTATTCACACGCCTTGTTTAATTTCTGAGCTGGTAGGTGGTGTCTGTGGATGAGATTCGACTACTCCCTGTATAATGAGTCAGTAGGTGCCATGAAACGGTTGTGCAGGAAGTCCTCCTTGTCAGTAGGTGGCACTTGCTTGGAGGAACAGGCTATGCTGTTGTTTTTGTGTCCTGTTATCAGCTCTTGTTCCTGTAGAGAGGCACCCTAGTGCCTCAGGTGGTCGGTGGGGCCCTGAGACTTCCAGGTGTGTCCTTTACTTCCCCTCAGTGAGGGCTAGTCTGGGAGTGAGTCTGGACGGAGCTGGGTTTGGTAAGCCTGCCCTTAGGCACCACCAATGCTGTTAGCAGGGGTCAAAGTTCTGTTCTCTGCTTCCAGGAAAAGCTTTCAGGGAGGGGCTGGAATGGCCCTGCTCAGTCAGAAAGTCTGCGTGTGGAGTGGGGCTATCTGAGACCCGCAGTCTGGAGCAAGCCTCGCTTCTTTCCACCCTCCCCAACTCTGTAGCTACTCCTGGGCTTCTGCCAGCAGGCCAGACCTCACGCCACCAGGCCTCCCCTGTCTTTGATGCCGGCTGGGAGGTTCCCTGCACAGGAAAGCCACCTGGGCTGGGCTCACGGCCTCCCTTTGGGAGGAGGTTTGCCCTCCAGGACGTTGATCTGCCTCTGAAGACACACACACCTCAGTAGTCTGTTCGTGTATATCCCTTCTGTGTCCCGGGCAATGTGAGACCTGGGTGCACGGGATCTGGTCTGCAGGTCTGACCTCTGGGCCCCAGAGTTCAAACTATATCCCCACTAGGGAGAGGAGTTCCAATCTCAATTCACCCACAGGGAGCACAAGCTGGGTCTATGTCTCTCAGCCTCAGGGTCTGCCCCGTTCTCCTGGATTCACCAGGCCAGCAGCACCTGGGAGGGCTAGCGGGTAGGGAGTGCACCATCTGAGTTCCCTTCAGTCAGCTGTAGGGCCCCAAAAGGGAAGGTCCCATTCTCTGGAGGTGCCTCTGGCTGGTGGCTATATTGTCTCTCTCGGCAGCCACAGATAGTGTTGGGGGAGGGGAGAAGGAGGCAATATGGAGCCTGCCGTGGGGCTTGGGTCTGTGCACAGGGAAGTGCCCTGCAGGAGTTGGAAGCCTAGTCCTGTGTCCGCTACAGGCTTACCGCTCACTGGTGGTGGACTTCTCTGGCTGGTGTTCGCAGGTCTCTCCACCTGCTGGGGAGCCCACCAGCAGTCCACGATGCAAGGGAGGGGAGAGTTAATTCCTCTACCTACCCTTGCTGCTGGTCTCAGGGCTGCTCCAGTGGTCTCTGCTTCCAGTTCTCCTCCACAACCTCCTCCCGTGGAGTCTCCCATGGTCTCAGGTACCCCTCCTTCCAACCCTCATCTGATGTATGCTTGTCTTCTTGCTTTTTTCTTCTAATTTCTACTAGAATCTGTCTTTTCTGCAGAGATACTCTGTCTGGCAGTGTTTCTCATCCGCCATCAATTTAGTCATTCTTTAGTAAGACCTGATTTCAATTGCCCTTCTGAAAGTTTTATAGATAGATTCCACACTCAGTAGACTGCACTTAACAGTTACAGTGGTGTACAGAAGTATACTTAGTAAAGAGCATCCTTAACAAAATGCTGTCTGGAAATGGTAATTATATAAGCATAGTTGGCTGCAAAAGACTACAATTTAGGCTAAAATCCTACTGTGGTTTTAAATTACAGTTATTTGATCTCAGTACATGAACTCTTGATCGTATTTTCTAATCTGATTTATTTCCTTTAGTCTCTGTAAAAGGGAGAACTACACATAATATCATAAGCCTCAGTGGTCTGTTTCTTGTTTCTTTGTTTCATTGTTTCTTGTTTCCCCCCATGGTACTTAGGTGCATCTAGCCGGCAGCCTATGTGATGTATACTCAGGCCTCTTAAGTCATCAATCTATGATCTTGGCCATGAACTCAAGGTATGGTAAGCAGTAAAGCTCTTTCATTTTACTGATTGAATGTCTTTTAAATGTTATATATTTTAAATAACCATAATTGTAAAAAATTTTTAAATTACCCAAAATTCCACCATTCTAATCTAGCAACTGTTATTAATATTTCTTTCTCATACTCCTTCCAATTTGTCTTTATTGCATGTACAGGCAGATAATCTCTTTAGTTGTTGATGGGCACTTTTCATTTGTCATCAATCTGAAGATACATTCCAATGTCATAAATATTAAAAAGTGAAAAACATATTATCAATGATTAGAGAAAATTTGGCAGTAATATAGTTCAACTGTGTAAAGTTTAGCATGGCTTTGTGGACATGGCTGGGAATGTAACCACTCTGCATTATTATGGACAGCTATCTTCTGATTTCTAAATAATTGTTTATAGATGATATTTATAAAGAAATTAATTCCTTTATATTTAAAGAATCATTTTCATTTTAAGGGAATATTTAAGACCTGTGAGTCATATAAAGCCAAAGCTGAACCTTATTTTCTCTTATTGCTAAGGAAAAGCCAGTAAAGTAGGCTTACATTTGTTCTCTCATCGATTTAGTAATTATATCCTTTTCTCCCCAGCTTTGTGGACCCCTTATTGCAATTTGAAAATCAATTGAAGATAATAGAGTCATCCTTTAATATGTTAGTTACCATACCAAGTCTTGCCAAAGTAAAAAAATTGGGGACTACTGATGAAGAAGTTGAGGATGTGGTGGTAAGATTTTTCTTCTTTTAAAGATAATTAGACATTATTATGCACCACAGCAGTCCTGCAGAATGTGTCTCAGTAGGTCATGATCTTTGTAGTCTTCCTCTTCACTGTTTTTAGATAAAATAGATAAATAGTATCTTCTAGCACTAATTTTTACCCCTAGACTCCTTGTGAATTCTACAACCCATGGGATTTTCATGGATTGTTTAAGATTTATTAGAAGAAATGAATGAAGATATTTTTGATTAATTGTTTTAGCAAGGACAGGGAGTTTACTGGCAAGTGCTTCCTAGAAGGGAATAGGAAACAGAGAAAGGTGGAAGTAGGAAGAGTCCTATAGTAAGATTAGCAAATGTCAGTGGTTTCCATTTCTTCAGCATTGCTATGTAGTGAATTTGCTCTATGAAATAGAGAAGCCATTCATAGCATATAGTATTGGGTGGGGTCCCATCAGTGTAGACACTACTCCTTTTTCTTACCTTCAGTTTGTGGGGAGAATTTACAACACACAGATGCAATGCTGTAGACATTAGGTAAAATTTTATATACAGTTGGTTGACTGGTTGTGCAACATTTTTGTATTTCAGAATTTATACCATAATATTTTTAACACATTTGAAGACACTCTTCTGATCTTAGTGTCTAAAGACCTCTACAAACTACAGATCTTAAAGGTAAAATATGGGAAAATAAGTAGTTTTGTTTTCTTATCATAAATCTGGAGAGCTCACTATGTTTCACTTATTTTCCGTTTGCCATATTTGAATCTCCTTCAAGTATTTGGTGGGTAAAACTTATTTTAAACCCAACAAAGTGACATTATTCCCAAAATGAAAGCACTTCTCTTTATGTGAATTATAGAGGCATAGTTTTAAGAATTCAATTTTGGGGAGATGGCATCAGCAGCCATCTTGAGAAGTCAAGTCTTATGTTGCAATATATGGGTGAGCACAATATGGAAGAGCAGAGAATATTATTAGCCTAATCCACCTACAAGTTTATGTAACAATGAACTATGCTGTGATAGTGTCTAAGTGCATGCTTCTTCCCCATCAACTCTGGTGCTGGGGTATGTTGTGTGCATCTTGTCTTCATGGATATTACTGTATCTAAGGATGGCCTAACAACTTTCCAAAACCCCCCTTTTTACAACCAAGACCTCACTGTGCTTTTAACATCCTGACCAGAGACAGAAGACTACTCTGGAAGTCTTCCAGTCTTCAATTTTGCATCCCAACATGTTGACATCAGAGGCCAACTATCTAGAAATACTGCAAAAATAGACTGACTTAACCTATCAGGAGCATCCATGAGTTGTGCAAATAATAAATACATCCAAGTAAAGAGGTTTGGGCAAGCTGGCTGACCAGAGACATTGGTTGCTAGATTGACTCAGAAAGAAGGAAAAGTTTTAGACAGGAAAAAAAAAAAAAAACATAGCTCAGGTGTAATTCTGAGGGGAAAGTGCCAGAACCTATCAGAGATTTCATGGGAAGAAGTTGCAGAGCAGAACAAGAAGGAACAAGATTTTGGCAGAGATCAACCCCTGAGAAACTTGGAGTCCTGTGGAATGGGTAGGTGGGGGTTTTGTTTCTCCCTGCTTCACATCTCCAGTGGTCAGCAGGCTCCTGAACTATTGGAGAGCTTCTCTACACTCATGAGCTCAAAAGCTGCTGATGTCAGTGAACTGGAAGGTTCTTGAAAACAAAGCACTGGGCTGCCAGCCCCCTCAGGGTTGTTCCACTTCACTACAAACCCAAGCGGAGACAGTGGGCACCATACTGCTTCTCCACCCATTGTGTGAATTTATACTCCCCAGGGAGCTTCAGCCCCTCAGTTTTCATGTCACTTGTCCCCACACAAGCATATCTCGACTCCTGGACAGATTAATGGTGGAGACAGGGGCTGATCGGTCCCAGGAGAGCAGTGTGATCCCAGAGCTTGTATATTCCATTGCCTTCCAGGGAGAGGGACAAAGAGGACAGAGTGTCAACTCTCTCCATCCAGATCCTTTTTCTCTCCGTCCCTTCCCCTGCCCACTGCTGCTGAGTGACACAGGTGCCCCAAAGGGTGACTGAGTTAGGGCTCTCAGAAATGGCTGTTTTTCTTCTGTTGGTGTGCCCACCACACTGAGGCTTCCCAAGAGAGTGGGATTCACACCTCTAGTCTTTAAGACCTGTAGCAGAATAAGGGGTGCTCAGACCCTGAGCTCCCTGCCTGCCAGCCTTCCCTGGTGCTACTCATGTGGCTATTCCAGCAAAGCAGGGCATACCCTGACCAGAGGGGCATTAAGGCTACTTGAGCACTCCACATGTAACTGGGGACCAGCACACTTCTCTCTGACATGGTCAGGGATTGAACTTGGGGGACCAGAGGACAGGCCTGCAGTCCAGATCCCATAACCTCAGGACTTGATTGTGTTGCTCAGGGACACAGAAGAGAGATTTGTGAACTACTCTTGGAAGGCAAGGGAGCCCATGTGGGCAGAACTGAAAGGGTAATGCAACATGGGTCTGAGCCACAGCGCACTTGTGCAGCATCCCTCTGCCTATAGCAAAGCCGTGCTCTTGGCCCAGGGAGAGATCCTGGGCAGGGAAGCTCCCAGCCCACAGTGCCATTGCTGATGAGCTCATCTAGTTTAGGCTCCTCCTTGTGGCCAGATTCCAGAAGGAGACCTCGGGACAGGGGAGGAGTGAAGGAGGAAGGGCAAAAGGCACTCCTGAAAGCCAGTCTATGAATCCCAGATGGCCTCTCCCCCTTGAGACTTTCGGGAATGATGGGGCCACTTCAGCCCATCCCTTGTCATTTTCCCCAGTGGCCTGAGAGCTGACCCTCAAATCCTGCTGAGACAGCACTTGTGCCCACATTTGTGGAGGCTGAACACCAGCTTGCCTGACTCAGCCCTGCCCAACCTCACTTCTCCACCCACTTCTGCTGTGGTAGAGAATAAAGAGTCCTCTGGGAGCCCTTGACCCCACCCACTATGTGGGACATATGAGTGCTTCTTCTGATCATCTAGAGCCAGTCACAAGTTCCAGAAAACAACACTATAGCTGGCTCATTCTGGAAAGCACCACCTGCTTTTAGAGAGGACAACTTGTATAGCCCTTTACAGCATTTACTGACTCAATCATACAGGGTGTGGCTGACTCTGATGCACAAGTACAATGTACTGTCTCAGAGACTAAACTGAGCATCCCAATATACCTTGTTAAGAAGACCATAGGGCTGGGGAAAGAAAAAATTTGAAAGATCTCCATCTTCCCTTGTCAACAAGAGATAGGGAATCTGCCCATGCACATAGTATACCACCATTACAGCCTACAAATAACTAGCAAATTAGAAAACTACCATACTAAGAATATCTATAACCAAGGTTTCCATCCAGAACCTAGACATTCATCAAAGTACTCACAAGCTAAGCCAAAGGTCTTTCTCTAACATATGCTACAGACACACCCCTAAGAGTGGTGGGGGAAAGCCCTATCTAAACAAATAAAATGCAAAAATAAGAAGCAACAGCTTCTTCAGATGAGAGGAATCAGTGTAAGAACTCCAAAAGTATGAACAATCAGAGTGAAAGGATACTATCAAAGGAGCACACCAGCTCTCTACAATGGATCCCACCCAAAATGAAAATACTGAAATGACAGATAAAGAATTTCAAATATGGATTGTAAGGAGGCTTAATGAAATCCAGGAGAAAATGGAAAATCAACTCAAAGAAACCAGAAAAACAGTTCAAGAAATGAATGAAAAATTTACTAAAGAGATAGATATATTCTTTAAAAGCCAAATAGACCTTCTGGAAATAAAAAAGTCACTTAGGGTAATACAAAAATCAGTAGAAAGTTTTAAGAATAGACTATACACCAAGCAGAAGAAAGAATTTCAGAGCTTGAAGATAACTCTTTTAAATTAACCCAGTCAAAAATAAAGAACAGAGAGAGAATCAAGAGGACCAAACAAAGTCCGTGAGAAATATGCAATTATATAAAATGGCCAAATATAAGAATCACAGACATCCCTGGAGTGAAGAATAAAAAGCACAGTATTTTGTAGTTCCCTGAATTGATTCTTCATTTTCAGGAGTTTGGTTAAACTTTTCTTCATTGTGTCTATTTCTTTAGTGAACTTTTGTTCTAGGTCCTGGAGGCTTTTTGTGCTTTCTTTGTGTTGGTTATTGAGTTGTTCTTGCAGGTCAGTGAGTTTTCTTATGATCCACATACAAATTCCTCTTCTGTCATTTTGATTGCCTGATTTGGGTTGGTGTCCGTTTCTAGGGGGCTGGGTGCTCCTCTTTGAGGGTGTGTTTTCCGTTTGGTTCTCCATATTTCTGGAGTTCCTTCACTGATTTCTTCCCATGTCGATCAGTTGTTTCTTTTCTTTAGGTTTTTGTTTGGGTATTCACACGCCTTGTTTAGTTTCTGAGCCAGTAGGTGGTGTCAGAGGAAAATGTTGGAAACACTCTCCTAGACATCAGCCTAGGCAAAGAGTTTATGAAGAAGTCCTCAAAGGCAATCACAGCAGCAACAAAAATAAATAAATGGGACATGATCAAACTAAAAATCTTCTGCACAGCCTAAGAAATAGTCATGAAAGTAAACAGACACCTACAGAATGGGAGAAAATTTTTGCATCCTACGCATCCGATAAGGGGCTGATAACTAGAATATACTTAGAACTCATGAAAATCAGCAAAAACAATCAAATAACCCTACTAAAAAGTGAGCAAAGGACTTGAACAGAAACTCTTCTAAAGAAGACAGAAGAATGGCCAACAAACATGAAAAAATGCTCAACATCTCTAATCATCAGGGAAATGCAAATCAAAACCACAATGAGATATCACTTAACTCCAGTGAGAATGGCCTTTATCAAAAAGTCTCCAAACAATAAATGCTGGCGTGGATGCGGAGAGAGAGGAACACTCCTACACTGCTGGTGGGTCTGCAAACTAGTTCAACCTCTGTGGAAAGCAATATGGAGATACCTTCAAGCAATACAAGTGAATCTACCATTTGATCCAGCAATCCCATTGTGGGCATCTACCCAAAAGATCCAATGACACTCTACAAAAAAGACACCTGCACTCGAATGTTTATAGCAGCACAATTCATAATTGTAAGGCTGTGGAAACAATCCAAGTGCCCATCCATCCAAGAATGGATTAATAAAATGTGGTATATGTATACCATGGAGTACTATTCAGCTCTAAGAAACAATGGTGATATAGCACATCTTATATTTTCCTGGTTAGAGCAGGAACCCATACTACTAAGTGAAGTATCCCAAGAATGGAAAAACAAGCACCACATATATTCACCAGCAAACTGGTATTTACTGAGCATCACCTAAGTGGACACATAGGTAGTACAGTAATATGATATTGGGCACATTGGAGGGAGGAGGGGGGCGGTATATACATACATAATGAGTGAGATGTGCACCATCTGGGGGATGGTCATGCTGGAGACTCAGACTTGTGTGTGTGTGTGGGGGGGAATGGGCATTTATTGAAACCTTAAACTCTGTACCCCCATAATATGCTGGAAAAAAAAAAAAAGCACAAAACCTGGAAAACCTATTTGAGGAAATAATTGAGAAAAACTTCCCTTGCCTGATTTAGACATCCAAATACAAGAAGTTCAACAAACACTTGGGAAATTCATTA